CCACCACCACCACCACCACCACCTCACCACCACCAGCGCTACAGTCGCTCAGTAGCGTAAGACCAAATCCCGGGCCGCCTCCTCGAGCAGAAGCGTGGAGGAAGTGCGGTCACAGACAGAAGCAGCTTTCTGTGCACTCTGAAGGGATTTAGATTTGCCGGCTTGGGGTTAGCGTGGGTTTCGGGTTTAGAGTTTAGGGTTGGGTGAGAGCATCAGGACGTGCGCGGCACGGCCGCATGTTTTGCGGCTGACCCATGGCCTGGCGTCGGCAAGGGCGGGAGATGCCCGTGCGCCCATGGCGGCGGCCTCGTTGCAAGCAGTACACATGGCGTGACAAGGCTGAGGGCTGCGGTTTGCTTCCAGTTCCGCCGCCAAGACTACTCTCAGCCTTCTCGAGTCATGCTTGCATGTAACGGCTCCATCTCGGGCTCGCTGAAACACTCTGTTTTAAAGGACTCTGCGGCCTGCTCCGCGACTAGAAATTGCAGGACCGTTGTTGAGGCGATACATCATATCACAGGTCCCTACCCGTGACCCTAAAGATCCAAATCACACTGTACTCCTGCAGTTGATAAGCATCTAAATTCTACTCTGTGCCTCGGGTCTGGTGGCGGCTGGTGGTATCCGTACCTTGGTATCGAGCTCACATACCCGGACGCCTGAAGCTAAACATGCACGTTGTGGCCTACGGTATGATATCTTGTCTTCAAGGTATGATGCAAGTTGCTTTAGCATTATATAGTCTTACATGTTTCTATTGTACACTAACTCATGCCAATGTACATTATACCGATTTTTGCTGGATGACCACTTGTTGCACCATTGCCTGTCATCAGGAAGGACCTTTGTGTTCGATTGCCCAGCGACATGGCCAGCACTTTCAACGACGACGGTCTACGTCTAGGGCCCCCCTCAAACGATCAACACATCACAAGCCCTCAACAAGGCCTCTAGGACTCCTCGCATGCGCTGGGCCCAGCATGCATGAGACCTTGTTATGGTTTCATGTGTGACTGCCTACTGCTTGGTTGATACGTCTGCCCAAAATTGTGACATAAATACTAGATGAACATGTGATCCACAGCTGGAAGGAAGCAAAGGCAACTGCTAAACGCCGACCTATGGGGCTCGCGATGTAGGACCGAGACTATGAGCATTGCATGGCTATCTTCTTCAATACTCGAGCATGATGCTGGTGATGATGATTACGATGGCTAGTTACGCCCCCTTTTTTATGATCATCAGCCCTCTCGTGATTACGACAAGTGTCATTCCCATCGTTGCGGCCGAGTGGCGGGTCGACCCCTGCGACAGCGGCGGCAGCTGCTGCTGCCACAGCCGCGGCGGGATCGTATGGCCTCGGGGACTCGTCGGGCGCTCTGCAGAACTTTTCAGGAAGAGAGCTTTTTTGTGGCCAGGCCACCTCTCTGCTTTGCTTGGTGATGAAGCTTCTTTCTGACAGAAATGTGTTGCTGGAGGTATTACTCTACGTTCAGACACTTTCGGCCCCGTGCGTGGCAGCCGCAGCGGCGGCCGCCGCCGCTGCCGCTGCACCTGCGCCATAGCCTCGCCGTGCTATCGAAAGCCGATCAAAAACTGCTGAGGAGTCCTCAAACGCTGCTCTTGCCGAACATCTTACGGCTGCTCTTGTCTCTTGACATCCAAGCAAGAAGAGAGCAAGCTAGATCTTGGGCTGAGCTGATGGCTCATTCCTGCGTAGTAAGCATCCAATTGCGCCGCGCTCATGTTCGCCTTAGCCCAGG